CCTCTAGTAATATATTTACTGAGGAAAATGGTGACGTGTTCAATACTTATTTTACCCGCTGTATAATATCCTAAACGTCTATATAAAAATATCAAATACATTAAATGAAACGTGGGCAGTACTTGCAATTTTATCTATAAAACTGCAATTGCAGCTTAATGCTGCTCTAGCTGCCCTCACTGCCCACTTGTTGTCTTGCACATCAAACACAAGTGTACAAACCACCAGCTCACATCCTCTCAACTAAAACATAATATATTAAAAAATTTAGCAGTTCCGGGGAACACAACGGTTTTTACAGAACCGTATTTATGAATCAGTCAAAGCTTAACAATCAAAAAAAAATTGTCCTTATCACCCAAAATTAGTTTTAAATAAAATTTATATAAAAATGCACGTCCTCTGGCATCCGTCCAGAATGCTGCAGCACCACGTGCACCCCAACTTCCCACCTCCATGTTCTGAACAGAGATTTACTGTAGTTACAGTTTTCCTGGCTTCTTCAAATGTATCAAATGTTGAGGGATTTAGCTAGTAAAGGTGGGGGGAAAATACTTAAACTGTGCTAAGAGATTTGTGCTTCTGCTCTATAACTGTGGCACCGTTTGTGCTTCAACAGAACACCGAACGTGAGTGATGAGTTAGGAGCGGGAACGTTTTTGCAGAAGCCGCCTCTAATTCAGGCCAGTTTCACCRATGCATCCGTAAGACCCCGAGAGCAGAGCGGGGTCGAAATATTTCAGGCCTTTTCTGCTGAAAACGACAGCAAAAAAATCACACAAAACCAGGTCATGCCAAAAACACCAGGGACTCAGCAACACACCATTAGGTCAGAGGTTTAATTGTACTTTTTGAACAATACAAGGAACATTTTGTTTAGATGGTTCAGATCAAATCGTGACCATTCTACGTGGTTCTAAGAGTATTTAGGTCACCATTTATTCTGTGGCRTTACCAGGAAGCTAGCTGCACGTAGCTCGAAATTTTCCTTCATACATCGGTCGGTGAGAATGTGTTATCTGTCTCGTATGTGAAAGTGCTTTGTCTTTGTTTCAGTAATGGTTCATAAATGTTTAATGTGGCTGGATTTGGATCAAAAAGCTGATCTGCTTATCAGATCAGAGGCCTAAATGACCCGCACCGAAGCCTAATTTAATGAACAATTGACATTGGAAAAAAAAAAAAAATGCTTGATTCCCATCGTTCTATTTCAAACTAAAAAAGGAATTTCTAGAGATTTAAAACCACAAACATGCAAAATAATGAAAAGAAAAGAAAAGAAAAGAAAAGAAAAACCCTTGTTGCAAGTTTCCAAATATCCTGCAGACAAAAAAGGCACATTTTTGTTGGAACTTTTTGCTTAAAATGTGCCTGATTTAAAAATAAATATAGAATAACTGTGAACACGTTAATAACGAGCACATTTTACGCCATCGTCTCTTGACTGTGGCTGGCACTTTCTGCAAATACGTTTCAGTCCAGCACTAAAAAAAAATACATCCCGTGTGTTAAGGAAAAGTTACAAGCAATAAAACACACACACACATACACACACACATGGATCTTTTGGGTGTGTTAAGTTTTCAGCTTTAGTTTTCTATTCCAAGGCACAATGAAAGCAGCTATTTATATTTTGCACATAAAATGGCTGCTTGCTTGTCTGTGTCAGAGCAACAATGCCTCAAACAGATATTGCTTTTTACACCTCATGAACAATTTAAAATAATACTTTTAGAATTTAAACAAGCGACAAGTGGGAATATATCACAAAATAAAGCAGATTTCCATATTTCACTGGGATAAAAAAAATGAAATATAAATTCAACAACAAACTGCACAAACGGGTCATTTGTTTCATTATGCCGCTATCGCTTTCACCTTACCAACACCAAGTTTATTAATCTGGTTTGTGTTTTTCCACACGAGCAGATTTTAATACACGTTTGTTTTCAACTTGTTCAAGACAGAAACAAAAGAACTCACCTCTCACCGCCTCACAGCTGTGATGTTGTTGGTTCAGAGACGTAGATGCATCTGTTGATCTTACAGCRCTGTAAGATGAAGGGGTGTAGACAAACATCAATCAAGTCATACACTCACACACATATACACACAACGGCAACGTCTGATCTCCAATCAGACCGACTGCCACCTGTGCAACTTAAACATTTAACGCATTCTGTTCAGAACGATGTGCTGCTCCTGTTTATTTTTATTGTGCTATCTTGCTGAGAAACAAATATATACATATTGACCACATGGTAATGGAGCTTTGTTTTCTTCTTCCCGTGCATTTGTGAAAGTCAAAAAAACAACAACAACTAGACATGGGTTTTTACAATGTAAAAACAAGTGTGCATTGCCATGTAATTGCAGCATGGCTTTGCCTGCAGCATTGGACTTGCAGAATGAACTTTGACCAAGTTCAAATATGTTTTCTAAACTAGCTTGTGCCTGTCACGTCAGCAGGTGTTTTTAATTAAGGTAAATGAGTTACAGTATGAAGTTGGAGGAGATTTTTTGTTAACATTGCATTAGCTGGGTTTTGAACCTTGATCTCCCACATAAAAGTCCATGACATAGACCATTAGGCCAGTGGAGCTGTGGAAGAAGCTGTTGTCAGGGTTTGGTTTGTATGTGTGCAGAAAGAGGCCACATTGCCAATACAATTATTGACACTAAATTGCATAATATTACAACAATAGAGCAGTATTAAGACAGTATTATAGTAAAACACCAAAATACAATCATATTAGTATTGTAAACATAGAACAATTTAGATTAAATATTATTAAAGTATGGAGCAGTACCAAGCTGAGTACAGCATGGGGCAGTGTTGGACCATTACAAGGCCCTATTGACTCTCATTATATGAATTTGGAATAAAGTTTAAACATTAACATTTCAAAAACTACAAGTTGTACAGGTACCAATTGCATAGCAATCATTTGGCACAGGACCTTTACAGACAGAAATTACAATGGCAGCTGTAGGACAATGTATGCAGGACTTTCAGAATGAACTTTGACCAAGTTCAAATGTGTTTTCTATATCAGCTTGTGCTTGTCACGTCAGCAGGTGTTTGTAACCAAGGCAATTGTGTGACAATATGAAGTTTGAAGAGATTTTTGTTAAAGCTGCACTAGCTGGATTTGAACCCTGATCTCCCGCATGAAAGCCCACAGTGCTCATCATGAGACAGTATTACAGTAAAACATTATAATACAATCATATTAATATTGTAATCACTGAACTACTGAGTATAAATATTATAAAACCATGGTGCAGTACCATATTGTGTAGATGCAGCAGGGGCAGTATTGGACCATTAAAAGGCTCCACTGACTGCCATTATAATTTATTAAACATTAATATTTCAAAAACTATAAGTTTTACAGGCACCAAAAGGCATAGCCATTATTTGGCACAGGGGCTTTACAGATATAAATTACAATGGCAGCTCCAGGACAAAGTATGCAGGAGGAGAAGCATGGCAAAGTTGAGATGACTTGGATGGGAAACGAATCACAATAGTGTGCATTGCATTGGCAATGCACACTGATTACATTTTTTTGAACACATTCAGAGATCAGAGCAGCTGCACCTGCAACACTCACACTCTTCAGATCTACACGTAACCAATTTAATCATCCACACTTGACTTAAAACTTTAACATTTAGAAATTGTTGGAATACACAGAAATGCTGGACAATAGTCCATTGGGCTCTAAATTATCAGATGCAAAAGATGTTTGTTGGAATAAAGTTTGAACACAACAAACTCCCAAAATTTTCTGTTTAATTCACATCATAAAAACATATAAGTAGAAAACTGCCTGGTCAGTGGGGGCCAGTGAGGGGGGCCAATTAAATTTACAGGGGGGGCCACGGCCCCCCTTAGTC